GTTCAAGCACTCCCTACAAGGAGAAGCCCGAGAATGGTTGCAAACTCGCGCACCGCACTCCATCTCGTCTTGGGCCCAGCTAGCCCAACAAAAACTGAGAGAATCCGGCGAGAAATTCAAAACTTCATACAAGAAGCCGGTGAAGCATTATTCGAGACGTGGGAGCGGTTCAAACAGCTAGTAAGGAGGTGCCCGAATCACGGACTTCAAGAGTGGCGCCAACTGCAAATATTTTACGATGGGCTACAAGACAACTCGAGAACCGTGCTCGACTCTGCAGCTGGAGGAATGTTCATGAGTTTGACTTACGATGAAGCATACGAGCTTTTGGAACGAATCGCCAGAAATAAATACATGCGGGCATCGGACCGGTCGAACAGCGGAGCAGTCAAGACGGGAGGAATTTTGGAGTTAGACGGAGTCACTGCAATCACGGCCCAATTGGAGAAGCTATCGAAGCAATTAGCGGCTTTGCAAACTCAGCAAGTCCACGCAGTCCAAGTGCCCGACCAGCGCGTAGAAGAAACGGAGTCTCTAAATTATGTGCACGACACCAACCGACAACAGAGGAACCCGTACTCCAACACGTACAATCCGGGATGGAAGGATCACCCTAACTTTGGGTGGGGAGGAAATCAACAAGGACAAAGGCAAGCACCAACTCAAGATCAGCCGCCTAATCATTCACGACCAGCTCCCGGATTCCAAAATCCGCCTCAAGCTCAACCTCAAGGTGGAGATCTTGCAAATATATTGGCGCAATTTATGACAACCACCCAAGCCTCCATCCGCAATTTAGAAACACAGATGGGTCAACTTGCAACCCAGCTAACCGCGAGGCCATCGGGAGCACTGCCGTCGAATACGGAAGATCCTCGGAAGAACAACGTCGAGCAGTGCAACGCTGTGAGCTTAAGGAATGGGCGACAATTGGAGGAAGCCCCACGAAAAGAGAAGCTAGACACGGTGATCGAGAAGCCGAGCGTGATTGGGGAAAAAGAAGCAACTCACGAAGAACCACTATCATCCCCAGTGAAATCACGAGCCCCTCCAATTCCATATCCTCAGAAGCTTATAAAGAAAAAGCTCGATGCCGATTATCAAAGGTTTTTGGACAAGCTGAAGGAAATCCAAGTAAATATTCCGTTTATTGAAGCCCTTCAAAAGATGCCAAAGTGGGTGAAGTTCCTCAAGGATCTCGTGACAAAAAGGAAGAAATTGCAAGGGAACGAGATGATCCAACTCACGGAACAATGTAGTGCAATTCTTACACGGCCACTTCCACAAAAACTCGGCGATCCAGGTAAGTTCACTATCCCTTGTACTATTGGAGGTAAAAATTTTAGATCGCTTATTGATTTAGGTGCTAGCATTAATCTCATGCCTTATTCTACTTATCAAAATCTTGGGTTAGGTGAGATTGAACCTACGGCTATAACTCTTCAATTAGCCGATAGGTCTTTAGTTTACCCAAAAGGTATTTTAGAGAATGTGCTAGTAAAGGTGAACAAATTTATCTTCCCGGTTGATTTTGTTGTACTCGATATAGATGAAGATAGGGAGATACCTCTTATTTTAGGGAGACCGTTTTTAGCCACTTCGAAAACTCTAATTGATTGTGCTAGTGGTGATCTTACAATGACGGTGCATGATGAAACGATCAAATTTAATATTTTTTATGCTAATAAAAATCCATGTGAGAATAATGAGTGTTTTACTATTGATCTTATGGATTTTACAAATCATGAAAAATTTGATGTTTCAATTTTGGACAATGGGAAGCATCGTTGAGTGCAGGAGAAGACGAACGCATGTCTCGTAACC